AAAAAAAAAAAAAAAAAAAAACCGCGTTCTCGCTAGAAAAGCTTCTAAAACAGCTTTCAGGCTCCTGGCAGAGCTCCTGCACCACCACTCAAGCAGACTGAAACCCCAGAGCCCCACTCCAGGGTTTCGGGCTCAGGGTTCAGGGTTTTCGGGTGCAGGGTTTAGGGTTCAGGGTTTAAGGTTTCTGAGGGTTTACGGACTCGGGCTCCAAAATGCTTGCATTCAAATCCTGAGCTCCCAAGTCCCGAAGCTCCAAAGAGCCCAACCCATCAACACACCCTAAGCCCCCCCCTCAGCCCCCCCCTCAGCCCCGAGGGTCTGAATCCCTAAACCCCCTATATTCTAAGCGCCCTAAACCCTAAACCCTAAACCCTAAACCCTAAACCCTAAACCCTAAACCCTAAACCCCAAAAACCTAAGTCCATCAAAACTTCAAAAGCACCTTCAACCCCAAGAGCTGGACCTCAAGTCGTGAGACCTGCAAAAGCCGGAGTAGCGAAACACCGCAAGGCGCCCCAAAATCTAACAGAAGGGACTGCCATGGGTTTAGGGATCAGGGTTTAGGGTTTAGGATTTAGGGTTTAGGGTTTTGGGTTTAGTATTTAGGGTTTAGGGGCTACGAACTCCCATCCTGCACCCCCGAAAGCGCAGAACCGTCATCCAAAAAACCTATCCAGCTGCATGGTAGCCTTATGGAAGCCTGTAGCAACTCCCCTTCCCAAGAAGCAAAGCAAAAGCCAAGGACGAACCGCGGCGCCCGAAACCCTAAACCCAAATCCGAAGCCCAAAACCCCCCACAGCCCAAACCCTGAGTCCCAAACCCTAAACCCTACATCCCCTATAGATCCCTTTGAGGATGCCTTTAAGGATCCCTTGAAGGATCCCTGAGCTCCAAGTCCTAAAACCACTCCCAGGAGGCGGCCCCGGAGGATAGCGACACGAGGCTGACAGGATCCCGGCCGCCTCCAGGCCACCGGAGGAACTTTCTGCGGGTCTCTCTTGTGAGCATGAGCCTTTTTGTTTACAAAGACGCAATGATGAATGCCTATATATATATATATGTATACACATATCTTTCCATATATATATATATATATGTAAGTCTGCATACGTCTGCTTTTACTTATTCTAATTCCACAGCTCTTATGCAACCCTTGGATTCTAGATGACTTCCTTCAACGCCGACTGAAACATGTTTCCAATGACTGCTGACCGAATCAGCAGGCGAAGTCTTCGTGGACGCGGTGCCATGAGGCTGGTGGAGTAAGTGTAACATAATAGGGGCTTGAATAATCCGGATAGAATGTGGTGGTATATCATAGCCACAGCCTGTTCTAGTATAGCCATGGTACAGCATGGTACTGTACATTAAGTATATGTGATAGCATATCGTAGAATTATATACATCAAACTATATTATATTATGTCATCGTATGTTGTCGTATGTTATAGTATGTTATGGTTATGGTTTGTTATGGTATATTATGTAACATATTATCGCATATGAATAGCACAGTCTAGGAGAGGATCAGATTTTACTTTCTAGTTATGTTCGGGAGCTGCCTGGAACGTGCCCCTTTGTTCGGGACTCACAGCTGGGGGTTTCCCCAGTGATTCTTGGTTTCGGGTCTAGGGTTTCGGGCTTCAGGGCTTAGGGTTTAGGGTTTAGGGTTTAGCTTAAGGGCTCAGGGGGTTGGTTAGAAGGGTGGTGTTTTGCAAAGGGAGTTGGGTGCGAGGGTTCCTGGCTGCCCTGGCTTGGGTTCAGGGCGTAGTGTGTTGGGCTTATGATTTGCAGCTTGAACGGGAGCCCTCTTGTTGAGTACCACTGGAGTTTATCTTTCGGGGTTTCGGCTTTGAGCGTATTGAATCCTCTTAGGCAACAGCGGTGTTTTGTTGCGACGATCGGAGAATCCACCTGCAATGGCGTGCTGTATCCTCAGGCCCTGAATCGATTTCGAGGTTTCCTTGAGCCAATACCTCGAAGCCTTCCTCTGCCTCAACCCTCCTTGCCCTGAGCCTTAAATCCGATGCCACAAACATAAAACCCTAAGGCCCAACTCAACGGAAGATTCTGGAGTCCACAACAACGACATCCTTTATATCCCAAGAAGTGTATCCCAAGAATTGGAAGAACCGTAAACCGTAAACCCTTTACCCTGAACCCTTGACCGGTGTTAGGGGTTTGCATAATTCTTGCTACTCGTGATGTTCCCGTTATGCCCCCTTCTAGTTACACTATAGTTACGTATATCACATCACCCAAGCCATGCTTTCCATTTATTGAGGCCCCTACATTACACCCCGATAGAAACAGGTAGAGAACCCTTAAAAGCCACCGAGACCCTAAACCCTAAACCCTAAACCCTAAACCCTAAACCCTAAACCCTAAACCCTAAACCCTAAACCTTCCCTTAAAAGGAGCCATATTCCAGCCCTTAAGGCCCCCACGTTCTGAGCCGAAGCCCAAGAGTCCAGAATCTGCAGGTTTAGGGTTTAGGGTTTAGGGTTTAGGGTTTAGGGTTTAGGGTTTAGGGTTTAGGGCTCTTTTTGGGCCGCCGGACTTCGTCATACATTGCTCCAGCAAAAAGTGTGCCAGCTGGATGGGAAGGTGTTGAAGAGCTTGCATGGTGCCCTCAAGTTCCTTAAGGGCTAGAAGTGCTTTATGTGGGTTTAGGGTTTAGGGTTTAGGGTTTAGGGTTTAGGGTTTTATGTGGCTTTCAGGGTTTAGGATTTAGGGTTTAGAGCTTCGAGATGTGCAAGCAAAGGGTGGTTCTCTAAATTGGGGTCCCTTTGTAGGTCGCCACTATAGTACGGCACCCTTATAAAAAGAAGGACCCCAAGAGGGACCCTAATTTAGAGAACTACGTAGAGCCAAACCTCAGATGGCGAAGCCAACGGACGCATGTGCGGAAGCTTAAACGCCCAGCTGTAGACATTTGTTTAACTACATTCCTCAGTAGTATCCTTTTGAACTTTTTGTTTGGGTTTTCCTTACTAAAGCCAAATAGTAGGAACAAGGGTACCCTTACTCTTAAGGGGCTACTGAGGAACCTAGTTAACAAACCCTCCATTTTTCTGAAGGGCCACAGTATTGGTATCCCTGTTATGATCCCTTTCAAGACCCGGGGGTGTTCCCCTGAACCCGCCAAATCTGGTTTGGGGTTTAGGGGGGTTTAGGGTTTAGGGTTTAGGGTTTAGGGTTTAGGGTTTAGGGTTTAGGGTTTAGGGTTTAGGGTTTAGGGTTTAGGGTTACAATTAGACATCAACGACCCCAAGCCATAAACCCGAAACCCTACACCATGCTGGGTGGCCTGACCCCAGCTGTAGCTCCAGCACTCAATAGACATACAAAGCAGAAGACCAAACCAGAGGATTAATACGAAGTAGCCCAAGCCTGCACATAGTATATATATATATATACATACGCAAATAGAGATTGATTTTGTAGAGATGCATCTATCTATCTATCTATCTATCTATCTATTTATCTACCTATCTACCTATCTACCTATCTACTTATCTATCTATCTAGCTATCTATCTATCTATCTATCTATCTATCTATCTATCTATATATCTATCTATCTATCTATCTATCTGTCTACTTATCTCCCTGTCTACCTCTCTGCCTCTCTACTTCTCTACCTATCTACCTATCTATCTGTCGATCTGTCTCTTTGCCCATGCGTATCTGTCTATCTGCCCATCTGTCTATTTGTCCACCTATGTATTCGTGTGATTGTCTATTAAAAATCAACCTGCTTGCGTACCACTTACCTAGCCGCCTACTTACCTACCGACCGACCGACCGGATGACCGACCGACCTACATGCCTGCCTACCTACATGCCTGCCTACCTACCTACCTACCTACCTATCTACCCGTCTGTCTATCTATCCATCTAATGACTTATCTAATCTATCCATCCATCTATCTACTTGTAGGTATATGTATTTACAAGTCACATTGCCTGCTTAGCTTCTGTTTATGGTGCCCAAACTGGTCTGTAGATGCTGTGAGCCAACAAAACTTTGCATGAAAGATTGTTGACCGGAGGTCTGCTCTGGCCCGAGACGCCGGACTGTCTGCCCTTTTGTTTTGCGCTCGTCTGCATGCAGTGGGCAAGATGACGGAGGAGTGCTTCGTGCTACGGGACGATCCGAACCCGTTGCCCTCGCATTGTCCAGCAGTCGCAAGGAAGGTCCATTTTTTCGTGGAGCAGATACATGTCTGTCGCAGCGTTCGACAGTGCTTCCTGCTTTGGCACTTTGTCTCCTTATACATCGGGTTTCCCCTCCGTTTCTATGCGCCATCTATGTTCGGCTGTCCACCCAAGATGATGATGGATAGCTTGGCACGTCTTCAAAACGTTGTGGAAGCAAAGGCCAAAGCACACTCATGGGATTACATGAAGGATTGGAAGAAAGTGGTGGAAGCAATGGCATGGAACGATGCAGTTGTTCCATCTGCCAGGACGTCGGCCTTGTTGATGCATTACGCAGCAGGCGCCAGGGCAATGGAGGCTGCGGCACCCTTTGCCGATCTCCTTGCTTGCTTTGCGAAGCGACAGGGCATGAGCTTTGTGCACGACAAGACGGTTTACTTTAAGTCCAAGTGGTTGGGGTACAGCCTCGTTGGAATCCTGCCAGATGCCTACATTCTAGGGGCCGGTGCGAGGCTTTTTGCATCTGATAACCATCCCTGGAGCCATCGCTCTGCAACTTCCAAGAGGTCACAGTTTGCGCGTTGGAATCTATCCGCATCAGCTCAGAACCTTACAGATGCTGGTCGCGTTGCCGGGCGGTTTTTGCTGGAGATATTTCAAACTATATCGCAAGCCTCTCACCCAGACTGGCAGAGGTCAAGGGTCACCCCGGCTGCTGCCGAAACTCTTCTTGTCAAGCTAAGCAGCAAGACCGTGTGGAGACGCACGTTTGAGAGGCTGGGTGTTGTCAGCGGTCCTCCGATACGTTGGGTCAAGGCCTTTGCAATTCAAAAGGCACTGTCGAGTCACGAGGCAGTGGTCTATCTTGACTATGACATTACAGTTCGTCCGGATTGTTTGGGTGCAGCCCGGCTAATCCAGGACCTGTTCTCCAGTTCAAGCTCGGGAGTCAGCCCCCACATTGTGGTACGAGACAGCGCTCCTGGCACAGACTGCATGAACACTGGCTTCATAGCCATGCGGAAAAGCCAAATCTCGAAGATTTTCTTGAAGTTGTGGAGATCGAAGATGGGCTGGCCAGGAGCTCTTCATGGAGATCAAGGTCCACTGGCAGAGACGATTTTGCAGCTGCTGGACATGGAAAGACGAGCCGAGCAAATTCAACAGGGTGTTAGGTTAACTGAAACCTATGGCTACGAGAGTGTCTGTTTGCCGATGCTCTTTCCCACCTGGGACGGTGTGTCAAGCTGGCGCCAGTATTGTGACTGCTGGCAGCAGGTTCTGTTGCTCCAAGTCGGCCCTTTTCAGAACAGAACCTCGCGATTCATTAAGTTCTTGGATCCACGGAAGATGGATGTGAACTTTGTGCCACAGCATGTGTATGACTTGGAGGGAATGCGTCTTTTGCCGTGGCGGCTGAACAAGAAGGTTTCCCGTTTAGGTTCAAAAAGCTCGGTATTGCTTCCAGAGATTACTCCTTTGCTTGTGCACTGGGCGGGCATGGAAAACCGGACGAAACTAATGCGCGACTATCTTGTAAAAAGATTTGGTATAAAACCTACCTGGTTCGGTTCGAAAGAACCGTCTGAACGCTGCTCTGCTCTTGCAGCGATAAGCCCGCGTGTGAACAGCAACTGCTCTCAAGATTCCATGGGTTCAAGTATTGAGCATGTCTTCGAGGATTGGGAAGGGCGAGACGACGCGACGACGGATGCACAGAAGATGGAGGCAACGTTTGCTGCTACATTGATCACAGGCGAGCTTCCGGACAAGACCAGTGACACTCACACGGTTTCCGCACGCTTTAGAGATGACCTTCTATCACTTCTGGGTGGGCAGAACGTGACACGTGCCATGACAGTGCTGGAGCTGGGGTCATACTTCGGCTACACCACGAGCTTTCTGGCCAATGGATTTCGATTTGTTGTGGCGGTTGACTCACGGTTGAATTGTGTGAAGCATGCTACGGACCTGCTGGTGGCTCGCAGCCAGCAGAGCAAGTCCCGCGTGTTGCTGGTGAACACATTGGAAGATGACTTGTCAGAAGTTGCTGGAGTCGCGAAAGCAAACGGTGGTATAGATGTGGTTTTTATCGACGCAGACCACTCATTCAAAGGTGTCGTCAACGACCTTGGCCTGGCTCTGCATGGACAACTGGGCGCTTCCAAGTGCGGTTTCCGCCCACATTACATTGTCCTCGACGATTTCTACGCACGGGCCACAGTGCGCCAGGCTTTCGTGGAATTTGAGAAGCTGGGATTACTGCGCAGGGTCGGCGACTTGGGCCATCTGGAGGGAGTCTTATGTCAAGTTGTCCCCACGTCTAGCTGCTTCAGTTCAGCACACGTGCACAGCTGACCGCTCGACCCTGTTCGTATCAAGACTCCGCAAACTGAAGCTTGCAGCCAGGATGTAACCGCTGTGCAAACCGGGCCACCAGCGATTTGGACCGCTGATGCCTTGTGATCAGGCTGCCGCTGTGCCATCGCATGCGCAGACTGCTGCAGCCTCTGCCACACCACTGGCAGCGGCGCCGGGCTCTCAGCCATCCGAGTCTGCGTCGAGACTGATAAGCTGTTGGTGGCAACATGCTGGTAAGCCGTCAAGATCTGTCAAGGCTCAATGCTTTCCCCGTGGATGGCGCATGCGATTCTAAAATTCAGGAAGCATGTCAATGTGATTCATCGTACGGCTAGTGTATGCCATGTTGTGGTGTCATGTGCAGCTTAGGCCTGGAGACCGCGTTCGGGTGAAGCAAACTTTGCCAGCACATGCTGGAAAGGCTAGCGTGATGTGGACCCGTTGACAGGGAGTGCTGGAGACTTCGCTGCCAGCCCGTCCTTGCAGGTTGGCACTGTAGAAGCTGACAACGATGGTTCTGGATGCTTCTTCGTGCTGTTGTGAACTTGGAGCTTGTTTCCACACTCAAAGCACGCTGAAAACACCTCAACCGTGCTGGGGAAAGGTTTGCAGATGATGGGGGCCGAGCACTCAGAGAAGCAGAGGCAGCCGCTGGTGGCCTGGTGTTGTCATAAGGTGCTTCGAGACTGCGCATCAATCCCGTTCACCTGGATCCGGCGTAGTAACGTGCAAGGCATCGTTTTGGTCAGCTACCATCGTCCCCGGGCGTTAGACGAGAGCAGTCTCGGTTTTCGCTATTGGCTATGGGGTTGTGTGGAGGGTTTGTCTTGTCGCTCGCAGGCTGGTGCTGAGCGTGTGAGATGCCCGTAGTTTTTTGCAGTGACGGACGAAATTGCGAGAGCGTTCGAGGCTTCCTCAAACCTATCGTGTTCCGGTCTTGCAGGGCAGGCATAACCAACCCAAAGTCCGACGACTTGTTTGCCTGCTGAGCAGACAATGTCTCATCAGCCTCTCGCAAGAGCGTGATCGCCTGGTGGTTGAAATCCAAGGGAGGTGAAAGCCAATGAATGGGAAAACTGTGATGAAAAACTGCTGCAGGTGCAATCGAATATAGTGTGGAGTTTCCGAGGATGGTTGCATTTGCATCATGTTGCTTCGAGCTATTGGCTGACAGCTTGGCTTATACTGTCGTCGAATTGTAAGCAATCAGCAGCAACACTCTTGGATGATACGCCTTTTTCTTCCAGATCCTCGGACAGTCAAGAAGTGAGGTTCATCAACAACCAGGTAGAGGCAGAGGGTCCACGCTTACCTGACTGTTACTTTTACCGTGGCCCGTCATGGAGCCGGTCCTTGGATCCACGGTCACCTCCCGGGTCCCTGCCCGGCCTTCGGCTGTGATGGCTCACAGGAACGCCGGTTTGGGCTCGAGCAGCGCCGCTAGCAGCGCCGCTGGCAGCGCCTCGAGCTTTCGCTTCAGCCCGGCAATCGCCGTAGCAGGTTTGACTGCTGCGGCCTTGACAAGACGTTCAGGCCGGCAACACGTGCAACGTCAAGGAACCATAGCCACGCAGCCTGGAGACAGTGAGACACCAAGCAATGCCATTGAGGAGTGGTTGTTAAGCCTGGAGCTGCCAACTCCTCTGAAGCCCGTTTTGGGCAGTTCGGCCTGGGCCAGTTTCGCTGCGTCGCTTGTGCAGATGTTCGTCGTTGCGGGTTTGTCAGCAGTGGGCACCTTCATCGAGCAAGGAGAATCTGCGACATTCTATGCACAGAAGTATCCTGAAACCTCAGGGGTCATCCTGGCCTTAGGTTTCGACCACATGTACAGCTGCCCTCTTTTCTTGGGATTGCTTGCTTGGCTGGCCGCATCGCTCATTGCTTGTACTGCCACCACACAGCTGCCGCTGGCGAAGAAAGCGCAGAGATTCAATTTCCATTCCTCCGCAGCAATGAAGCGCAGAGGCTCGTTTCTAATGCGTATCAACTGTCCCGTAGCAACTGACGAGCTGGCCACAACCGACAAGCTGCACCAGTTGAGGGGCGAGTTAAGGCAGCGGGGATTCATTGTTCGCTCCGATGATGAAGACAAGCCAACCCAGCTAGCAGCCTCACGAGGTTTGCTGGGAAAGTTTGCTCCGATGGTCGTGCATCTCGCTCTACTTCTCAGCCTTGCTGGTAACGTGGTGGGCCTGGTCTTCGGTGCTTCCAGCGAGGTGATGATTGAAGACGGAGGCGCTGCAGATCTTGGCCGAGTTCTGGAAGCCGGCCGCAGGGCCAAAGGCCCTTTGTATGACTTCCTGAGCCCGACCAAGAATCTCATGGATGCCATCGACGTCAAAGTAGAGGACTTCCGCATCGAGTGGCTTTCCAGAAAAGCTTGACTTAAACCTCCTGAAACTTCAATGAGCTTGGGCTAAATAAGGTACAAGGACGATGGAACGATTGATCAGTTCTTCTCGAAGCTCGCCATCGAAGACTCCAAGACGAGAGAGCGACTATACAGCTGCCTGACTGAATAATCCGAGCTTTGGATGAGCCAGCTTCCCTTCACTCGTAGTACTGCTGACTGCATCAGCAGAACCGCTGCTCACTTAGTATGGGCTTGTAAGGCGACGAAATTTTCGTGAACAAGCCGTTGCGTTTCGGAGGGGGTACGTCTACCCGGCTTGCTTGACGTTTGACAAAGCTCAGATACGTTTCAGTTCCGTCTTTCGGCCCGTCAGGATCTACCAAGCAGACTGGGGCATTGACAGGCTACAAATGTGCTCCGCGTTTGTCAAGCCACTGAAGCGACCGAAATGCTGTGCGGCGGCGAGGTACCTGAACGGTTATCCCATCGTGGTGCCGTGCAAGAGTCTACCACCCGAGAAAGGAGAGCGATCGCATCCCTGGCTGTGTTGTTTGGCAAGCAATTCTGCTGAGCGGTGTGCGGACGTCGTCAGTCTTGTCAGGTGGGCGGCGTTTCTTCCTCTGGAACTTGTGACAGCCGAGGCAAACCAATGTGCTGCATTTTTTTGAAGGGGTCCAGTCTTCCCGAAATCCGACAAGTCGCATCCCACAGATCGCACGACGTGCGAAATGCTCACAGACAAGCCATGCTACGTTCATGCTGGGTGCAGTCCTGATGCGCCTCCTTCCGTGCATTTTGCCTAGAGTGCTGTAGATGCTATGCAAGGATGCCGAGCTGACACGGCAAAAGCGCTCTCGTGTTGGTGTGTGTGTGTGTGTGTCGTCACGCTCAACGGCCCAAATTGGGCCTCGCCGCGGTCCAGCGCACCTGCAATTTATTCTGCCTCGAAGCTTCGCCTCCTCCGCCTCCGCTGTCCGATGCACCGTCAAACATGAATCCAAACCAGATCCAGGACTTCCTTCTTGAATGCACTCTGCTCTTTTCCTCAAGCGCAACCAGCAAAATCGAACGGAGAACATCGCAAGCTCTCAAAGTTTTGCTCCTGCAGGTCGGAGGAAGGACAAAAGGAGTTCACGGATTCCTGTGCATTCTTCAAGAAATTAAGTTATCTACTGCCTGGACATTCGTCGAAGGGCAGACGAGAACGTGCGGGATGATGGTGGCGTTCATGGGTAAAAGAAAGACGCACAGCCTCACAGAGTTAGGCCGTTCCGTGCAGCTCCTGGTCTCAGAACCTTAATTACATTCGCCAGAACCCCACGACTGTGAAGCAGATCACGAAGCCAAAAGAAGGTCGGCACCCTGATTGGTGTTGTCTGCTGTGTGGCCGACCATCGTCGACTCGTCGGCGAGCTCCCCCATGAACCCGGCCATGCAGCATGCTCAGGAATCGTCCTAGTTCTGAACAACATGCGCAATGTCCAGGCCTGCCGGCAGAACACGTCTGAGCAAGAACAGTGCTCTGTTTGTCTGCCTTAGTATGTGACTTTGCAGGTTTATGGATCCGACAAGACCCTGGCAGGGGTTCTTCGATCTCCAATGGCTAAGGCCTTCTGCGAAGTGCCACAGCACTGCAAATGCGCGTTTTCAGAAGGATGTGCCCGTGAGTTTGGAGGTGGAGAAAAAGATGGAAGGCATGCCTATCCAGTTTGGTGAGGTTCGCCAGACTAGCCGGCGTGCAATGTCTTGCCTTTCGCTTCCAGTTCCTTTAGAGCAAGATCGTGGCATATCATGGCAATTTCCCCATGCTGCCCCTTCAGGAGATCACCGTTGAAGGCAAGACCAAGCTACGGCTGGACAAGATTGTCGGTTCCACCGGCCTAATCGCCTGACTTCCAGATTTGGAAGCTGTCGTTCTCCGTATTCACTTGTTGGAATATGTGTCTGAAGGTCAAGAACGACCCAGGCGTGCCTCTCGTCTATACGGGCAGCGGACTCAATGCTGGGCAGCAGTGGCATCCGGCAATCTCGGGGGATGCAGGCAACTTGACTTTGCCTTGTCTGAACCCTGTCAATCAAAGCCGAGGTTACGCGCTGCTTATGCCTGCCACGCTTCTGAGCGTATTGCCCTTTGTGCAGGCGAAGAGCAGCATGTTGAGAGAATATTGCTTACATCAGACGGTTCCATTGACCTGAACAGATTGCCATTCGTTTTCGTGCGCAGGTTTGGGTGGCAGTGAACAAGGATGACCGCAACCAGCAGCACCGGCTCGTTTTCCTTTTCCGACAAGATAAGAGGCTCTTCGGAGACTGGCTGAAGCGTTGCATTCTGACTAGGATCTTAGTCAGTGGCCGCGCGAACCGCAATCAGCTCTCCTTCGAGGCTGCTTTGGCTCGCAGCTCAGATGTCTTCTGCGTCGGCCTGCCTCGTCCAGGACGAGATGAAAGCTGCCGTCTTGTCCGTGGCAACTTCCTGAAACATTGGCGAACATGACGACCAAAGCCAAGATACCTGTAGCAACGCTCTTTTGAACATTGACATAACCGTCTTACATTCCCACATCGTTATCCTTTCCTCATGACAGCCATAAACTTGGGATGGGTCGGCGATGCAATGCAGTTGTGGACTGCAATTTTCGAATCCCAGACTAGACCTGTCCAGACCCTGCCGGAAGCCACGACGCTGTCGAGCAGCTAGTAAAAAGGGCTCGTCTCGGCACTCTGACCGGTTTGGTTCTGCAAATAGAGAAGGAGCTGCCCTGTGATGGGTCCTGGTTGTGCATTCCCCACAGCTGCAGCATCGACCTTACCAATAGGGCTCCCGACACTGGAACGGCACAGCAGTCAGATCTCCACGAGGTGTGTTGTCGTAGACCTCAAATACATCACTTAGCTCAACTGGTTCGGTTCATCAGTTCGACTAGTTCTGTTCAAGAAAACATCGGAAGTAGCATAGCTTGGTCTAGAGCGGACTGCCGTAGATCGCAATGGCGAAGCATGTTCTGCCGATGCCTCGGATCCTGGAGGCTCTGGCGCTCGTTTGCGTTTCTGAGAGTGAGGCCCGGCCTTCTCGGCAGCAATGGTGCAGATTCCAAGGAGGCCACGACAGGGTTTTTGTAACAGAGCAGTGTCTCGACGTCATTCAGCCTCATAGAGTTGGTCATGAGGTCAGGTCCACGCAGCACTGGTCTACAGTTGCAGCTTCCATCGCCCACTGAATTCCGAGCGTTTTTCCCCTAAAGCTCTTTACCACTCACACCAGGGTCGGCCTCGTTCCACAGCTTCTGTGTCTAGTGTGCCAGTCATCTTCAAGTCTATGCCTTGATGCTCCTCGCAGTGACTAAAGAGGTGACGGCGATTTTGCAAATTTCGCTTCTGCATTCCCAAGTCAAACGATGCTGGCCTTGGTAGACCACCGATCAGTGCGCAAGGAATATGTCACGGTTTCTGAGTCAGCCATGTGTAGAGCTCGAAGGCTTCAGATTAGTTTCAGGATATGGAGTCCGTGAACTCTATAGAGCAAGGGTGAGGAAGGTGAGGGATGGTGAGGGGAGGGGGGAGAAATTATGCACCCTTTCGATTCTGCGGGGTACTGGTATGAGGCTGGTCGGCTCGGTGAGGAACCCGTCCTTTTGAAGCATGGGTTCGTTGACTTCGCAAGCCCATCTCTCAAGAAAAATAGGCGTCTAGCAGATATGTTGTCATTTCCTCTGAGGCCGAGACTCTTTTAGTGTGCCGTCGGAAAAGTCAGTTTGGATCTGGCATCATGGAGTCCTGCAATATTTCGGCGACCGAACGGGCTCTGTTATGGAGCGGGTTCTGGAGCAGTTGCACAAAGTAGAGAGCTTCGGGGTGCGCACGTGCCTTGGCGAGCCTGGTGTCCTGTGAAAAGACCCAGCTGTAACATAACTTGCCGGGCATCACCAGCCAGAGCGGGACAGACTTTGCAAGTTCCAAGCCATTGTCATACTCATCCCCTTCATCTTCACAAGCAGTGTCGCGTGGGTGTGCTTATAATGTGAGCCACAGCTCAGGAACTACAGTCCAAGAAGTGTAAAGCTCAACACCTAGATTGTTAGATTGTGGATAGCAGAAACAGATCAGATCTACCTTGCAAGAGTTCAATCATGCTCCCCAAGACAAGCAAGAATTCGAGAGCGACACTTTTGCTCTCGCGGCTGCTTGCAATTTGCAGAGATGCTTGCTGCATGTCGGGCTCCACAGGCGAGGCGCCTGCCTCGAGGAGCTGCAGAGCAAGGCGGGAGCTGCGGGAGCTGCGGCAGTAAGTCTTCGAGTTTCATGATCCTCTCGCCGGAGTCTAGGTGGTGCTTCTGAGTTGATCCTTAGGGATGGCTTGACATGTTTGCACCGATGGCGCGTAGGTATGTATAGGCAGCTTCGAGTAACCAGCGACCGACACTCTCAATTTGTGGTGGCTGCGAGGAGTCGCAGCCAAAGGTAACTACAGTGCACTTGTGTTGTGATTTCGGTCGCGCGTGGCTCAGTCCATCTCAGTCTTGCATGCTTGCAAAACCATGCTTCAGATGTCACGTGGCTGGCGGACGAGTGCCAGCTGCTAGATTTTACCCCTCTTTTCAGAGATGCTTCTCAAAGGTGAAAGAGCAGCATGTTAGTGTAAACATCTGCAATTGACCAAACTCCTTGGCCTCCTCGTCCTTGTCCAGGCGCTCTTTCTGCACCGCCTTGGCGCCTTGCACTGCGACGCCGCTTTGCGGGCTTGGCTGTACCGGCGGGAGCCCAAGCAGCACAGCCAAGCAACGAATCGAGCCCAAATCCTCCCATAGCGAGGCCCCAGGCTCGTGCCATCTCATGCCCATGCCGACAATATGCCACGGTTGTACGAGACAGGAACTTTGCACGGCATCTCACGGCGAAAGCGGTCGGCACTACGTATGTTTGTCGTAGTGGCTGGAAATCACTCGGAGCCTTTTGCAGGCCAACTCTTTCCACGCTTGTGGCGCTGAGACGCCGCAGAAGCGTTCTGGTGAAGAGTCGCCCACCGGTGCGTCGAGGCGGTCTCGCAGCGACCATGTTGCAGAGCGTCTGCTGTGAGTATTGGAAAGTGCAAGTGTGCAGATGGCGCACGCACCGGAGTGCGATGCTTGCAGTGAAAGACGAGGACCGAGCCTTCCCTCGGTTTCTGGAAGGGTCGGGGGGTCGGGCTGGCGCGATGAATGTCAGGAATTCGAGATCGCTGTGCAGCTTGCGGCCTACTATGTGGCGGATGCGACTGAGGGCCGCCTTGACAATGGGCTTGCATCGAACTTCAAGTCCGGGAATAAGCGAAAGCTTTACTGCTGCTTGGTGCAGACCCACATCGCTTGGCATGCTGCTCGCCCAAACTCATTGGTGACTCTTGCTCTCTTGCCAAGCACTGCACGCATCCAGCTCGTCCTCTTCCGGAGGTCATGGTTATGGCGGCGTGCGTGCTCCACTCCCTTCTCATCATCCTCGAGCCCCCTCCAGGACAAAGCTGCGCCCGTGGCAGCCCGGACTGATTCAGGTTCTGCTAAGACGGCAAAGACTTGAAAATCAGTTGATGAGATTCCTGAACGTTCACTTCATCATTGAAGCTAGGCTGGGAGAACGTTGCCGAACTCTTTCTGGTCCTGGTCTATGTAGCTGACATCTTGCTGAAGGTGCGCGCTAGTGAACTCGTCGGAGTCCGCTCAGCCACACACAGCACACAATCTGATGTCGGTAGCAAGTTTTCCGTGAGAAGACAGCTTTATAACGGTAATCAGCAGGCGCAGGCTGAAGCCACTGCTGGCTCCTTGTAGTTTCGTATGTTCAGACATGACGGAAGAACGGCTGTGTGGAGTCTGTGGAGACTCGGAGGAATATGTGGCACATCTGCCACAATGCGTGAGGAACGCAGACAAAGAATTTGGAACTGCAGAGCCGACGAGTCCATCGCATTGGAGTGCCGCAGTGCGGCAGGGTTCTGGCTTGATCTGAGTTGCTGATCTCGGAAACAAAATTCGTGGGAGATCTCAGACGAGACCAAGCAATGCCAGCTTCGTGACATGAGTTTGCCAGAGTCTGCGAGCATGGCACCTTGTCGTCGCTTGTTGAGTTCACGACTGACACGAAGACTGCTACCCCAAGTTTCACGGCGCTGAAACTTTGCAGCAAGCATAAAGCCATCCTCTGTCTCTGTCCAGTGAAACTGATGCTTGAGAAACCATTCGCCCGGACTGACCGTGCTGGGCTTCGGACATTGCAGCGATCTGCACTGCACAAGACCTCATGCCCACTGCCCTGTCTTCCCCGCTTCCCCGGCCAGGTCGCCTACATGGGCGCTGGAACCTTCCTGTCGCTCCGAGGTTCCAAGGCCAAGCGCCGAGTTCTTGCAACTCTTGCACTCTCTTGCCACTGCCGTATATGGCCGCATCTCCGCGCAGATCTGGCAAACCACCTATGCGGCCCTCACGGCCATCCTTTTTCTTGACGCTGCGCTCGCGCCATGCACCCGACTGTCGCGACCCTTGCGGCCAATCATGCTCGTGCTTCGCCCAGACCTCAGAAATCCGGAAGCAAGGCAGAGTACTGAACTGTTGTGACGAAGCGCAGGATCCCGGAGTGTCCGGAACTTTTACACCACAGTGCTCCGCATATGTCCAAGCCTATTGAAGGTCTTGATGCTGTGGCTTTGTAGCATTTCGGCAAGTCCGGAGGCATTTGCTGTTGCAAAGCAGTGTTCGATGTTCTTGAGGTTGCTGTTTATCTTGACGGCGTCGTCCCTTGGTATGGCCCGGCTGCTGCGCGGCAGCGGGACACGCTACTTCACAAGCTCCTTGGCCACCTTCCAGGAAATGGCCATACTGCTGCTGACCCAGGAGCTTAGAAGCTTTCCCAGAGCAGTCCAAGAGCAGCTCAAGAGCCGTGGCAGGACAACTACAAGGTCACTTGGCCTGCCCGATTCTGGCCGCTGACATGAGCTGGCTCGTGGCTTAAGTTGTGAGCTTCTCTTGTCAGGATCTCCTGCATGATCTTAGTGATCACGGAGGGCTGGCATCACTCCTGGTCTTCTTCACCTTTGTGGTTGTTGGTGTATTGTTTCTGATGCAGTCCCCCGGCAGACGTACAATGCAACGCGTTTTAATGTCCTGGGTGGTGTACCGTCAAAGGGCTTGTGCTGACTCCTGAGACAGGTTGGTGCTCGGGACGGTCATCGACACCTACATGGAGGAGGCACAGGAAGAGCTGCGAAGCAAGCGGGTGAAGCAAGCGAAAGGCCGGGTTTCCATCCTTCGGCACTGGCAGCTGCCTTTCTGGTCGTTGGAAACTTGAGTGTCCCTCGGAGGTCTGATGCGAGCCTTCTCGGTTCTGGACCTGCGCAAAGAAGGATTCTGGCTACCGTTGTGGAATTTGCAACGAACCCAATGTGAATGCTTGCGATATGCTGCATTCCTCAACCTGCTCGAGGACACCTGCGCCAGAGGGCTTTCGACCGCCTCATCCAGAAGTTGCGGCCATCTGATTCACCCTTCGAAAGGCACTTGAAGTTTAGCTGCTTGGCCTGTGCGGAAACTCGCGAACTCTAGTTGCTGTGGAGCTGTATTCTGGCTATATTCATCAGTTACTGACGATTGTCAGCTTGAAGGCTTGCTCTCCAACAAGTACAAGTCGATGGTTCCCGCAAGTTCAGGTCCTTCAACCCCTGCACGCAGCCGGGAGGACAGCACCTTGGACAGTTCATTTGGCATTGGCGCAGGCTCAGTCCACGACACAACCGAGCCATGCTGAGCCTTTTGCATCTAACCATGAATCCACACACCCTATGCTTCGAAGGAGGAGGGAGCATCGCAACTTTCCACATCGTGGTTCGCGGTGATCTAAAGCACGCGGATGTCAATTCGAAGCGTAGACAGGGTCATGTATGAACGCAGGGCAAGAGTTTAAAGACATAAGTATTCAGGAGTTTTGCCAGTTTTTTCCAGAGCCTGCCAGATTCGGCGGTTCAGCAGCAGCCTCTCTTCGAGCAGAGATGTGGCGTGAAGGAGCTTTCTCCTTTGGCACACCCGCCCTCGCCACCGAAGCGGCCGATGATTCCACTTCTTCCTCAGTTGCCTGAATCGCCTCTACCCTTCCAGGCAGGAGTGATCGTGGTGCCCACGTCCGAGCATGGCATTTCGCTTCAAGGAGCCCACGAGCGGCCCCTGGACCAATCCCGAGCCCAACATTGATCCCATCGACTTCTTGTCGCTCCACACGGCAACATGGCACAAGAGAGCCGAGAGTGCGTTCTTGGGATGCCTACTTAAGTAGTGCGAGCATAGGCCAAAACTGGCGAAAGCAGAAGCGAGGTCTTGGAGCTGACCTTCAAGCCCCGACGCCCGGCCTGGGATGTCCCTGGCGTCTGCCGCGAGCAGCCTTGGCGGGGCCCCCAACCGCGCTACGAACCGCGCCGAGCCGGGCCGGGCCGAAGAGGTCGCCATAGCTGCCTGCCAAGGTGGAGCCGCGGTGCGGAGCGACTCCTCTCAGATCCCCGTGCCTCCGTTCGAAGACTCGAGGTCTCCCAAGCTTCCAGAGATTTTGGATGCGGTTCTTTCATACTCAGGCTATATGGTGCTTGTGCGCTACCTGCTGTGGGCCGATGCTGCAGTTTTCTTGGCCGATGCTGAATGCATCGAGCCACTAGCATCGCTTGGATGCTGGCTGCAAGTGAATGTCACTCGGTCACACTTAGCGGATGCTGCTAGTGCATGTGCATGGACATACAGCAACAGCCACATGTCGGACATAGACGAACAACGTCCCCACGACAGCTGTACTGTGCACGGACGAGGACTTGCTTCAGACCGCTTTCCTGTTGCAGATGGCCATGCAGGACAGGAGTCGCGTGTTCTTGCTACTGTGCAGCCCCTGCGAGTCTTCGATCCGACACCTGCTGCCAGGTATTTGCTTTGGGCAGTCTGCGGAAAGCCTGGCGCTTCGGTGGTTCTTCGGACACCCGATTTCTTCTCAGAGCAGAGCTAGTTTTAGCCGCTCAGTCGCACCATCCATTGTCTTTCTCTCCTAATGTCTCGCTTTGACAGTGGCTTTCTCTGGTTCTTAGGGTCGCACGCTCGTGCGCTTTGTCTCTGTGTCCTCTCTTTTTCTGACTCTATTCTCTGCGCTTCATTGCCATCAGAAGTTTCGAAGGCCGGAGGGCTGCTGCACTTGACGTGTCTTCATTCATCCTTAGCTTGGCATCTGTTGCTGCTGGTTTGAAGGTAGGGCTGGCAACTCGCATTCTGCACGAACCAATGCCTTTCAGTCCTAATCCCGTTTGGCTTGAGTTGCGGGACTGGCTCTTTCCCCAGGGGATCGTGAAGAAGAGTGCATATATCTTGGAAAGTTGCTAATACCCGCGTGGTGCCAAAAAGTCGGACGTGCTGCGGCTTGTTGTCAAGTTTGCTGGGCTTGGAGCAAGTTTCCTGGGCCGCAATGCATCAGCTGAAGACATACCTGCTTGATGTTCTGCCAGGCAGGTGCGCTGACAATCGCTGCGGCCGCAACTTTGTCCTGCAGCGCCTCTTCTAGCGGAATGTTAAGAGGTCCAGGGAGTCCAGGGTAAAGCTTGTGCCTCTGCCATAGATTCAGAGCTGGTTGGAGTGTGGCACGTGCGGCTGCTTCACAGCATTTGCCATTGTGCTGTCTGTCTTTCAACTTCACGATGCTACAGGAGAGGGCTAGCTTGCCATCCTGTTTCAACAAGGTCCCTTGGCGAGCTTTCGTTGCTTGGCCAATATCCACCTGGCACACCATTGCATGGGGTCTGAGTTTTGTCTATGATCCGATCTTCATAGTTGGGGCGGTTCTGTCTGATCTCCGGCATGCAAAGCCAGGTCTTCCCAGATTCCCACCCGGGCAGAGACTACCAAAGACCTCGCGCCGATATCAAAGCATATCAAAGCCGAGAGCTGTCAAATAGTTCAACGTCACCATATGTAGCTGCCAGTAGCGACTGTGGACAGTGTGCTGCGTTGCAGCATTGGGTGCCGAAGTTGGCGTTTCAGGGATCCCAATATATCCCAATGCTTGACTGCGGAAGTTGTACTCCGGGGTGCGTGGTCGGGTCAAGTCGAGTCCGTCTCCGAGGGCCTGCCGTGGCTGGTCTCGGTGCACTACGCAGCCTTCGTCTGGCAGCCGCGCGGCAGACTTTTCTGACTTGCATTGGCATAGAGATTCACACCCTGCGCCTGCAACAGCCAAGCACCGAACCAAATCAAAGATGATCAGTGCCGAAATGTTTCGACCTTTGAAAACCTTTCTTGCACAAGGAGCAGGTACGGTCGGTAGTGCTCGGATATTCCGCCGGCGAGTACCGATCCAAACAGTCTAGCGGCTGACGCTCGAACGGCGCTTGGTGGAGCGGCAAGAAAATTGGGAATGCCGATGCGAAGGCAGTTTTCCATGGCCAGAACGGCCCTCCTTGCTGGGCGTGCAGAGGGCTCTGGAATTTTCATTTTCCTGCACCAGCAGTCTGATCAGTCTGTTTTGTACCACCCCGTCGCGCTGCCGGATCTCAGTCCGAAGCTGGTGGCCAGATAAGATGTGAACCGAAGAACAGACAGCTTGTGGAGCAACAGCAGGTCTGCCATGGAATGAGTACATCTTAAGTCTTAAGTCCGTCGCTGACCCAAAGACCCGCAGTGTGGCAACGCCGTTTCAGGAAGGTTCTATCAGACAAAACTCTGCTTTGATGCGGTCTCGGCCATTGCAGACCTGTCTGCTGAGGCCACCTTCGGTGCCCTGCGACGCTTTGGCCAGTGCTTGGCAGACATCCTCCCGGTGGGGGGAGGGAAGAGGGGAACGAGGGAATTGTCGGGCCCGAAGCACAGTCTATGCATCAAGCGCCTCACTTCAGTAGAAGGTTTTGACTACTGGTGCTGCATACATTGCGTTGTGGTCGATGTATGCGAGCAAAGCAGCATGCATGCCAGTCGGAATGCAAGCAACAAGCATATCCACCAAGCAGCAAACCGGCAGCCCAAAGACATCCATGAACCAAGCTTTTCCGAAGGCTGTCCTTTTTCTGCTCATGTTTTGCGTCCAAGGAGGGCGCAGCAGCAATAGTAGTAGTAGTAGTAGTCGTCGTCGTCGTCGTCGTCTTAGTAGTAATAGCAGTAGTAGGTAGTAGTAATAGTAGTCGTCGTCGTAGTAGTCGTCGTCGTCGTCGTAGTAGTAGTAGTAGTAGTAATAGTAGTAGTAGTAGTAGTAGTAGTAGTAGTAGTAGTCGTCGTAGTGGTCTCTGAGTAGTGGTAGTTACAGTAGTAGTAGTAGTAGTAGTAGTAGTAGTAGTACTAGTAGTAGGTAGTAGTAGGTAGTAGTAGGTAGTAGTAGGTAGTAGTAGGTAGTTGTAGGTAGTTGTAGGTAGTAGTAGGTAGTAGTAGGT